CAACAGAGAAACCTATCCTCAAATGAACAATAATGTAACAATTGAAAACAATCGTCAATTAATACATCCATATTCACATCAAGAAGCTCCTCAAACCATAAAAATTCTTGGTCACTGACGACTCCCATGCGAGCAAGTCGATGAGCTGCTGTGTTACTTTCACGATACGTGTGTGTGATCTACATCTTTGTGAATAACTTGGGCAAATGTCGAAGGTCATTTATGACAGGTCCCAATAACGAGTAATCAACATCATTCCCTTTCATGGCTGCCATCACCATCCTTAGAATTTGAAAATCCATCGTTCATAGTTGTATTAGAAGGGTCTGTTTGGTGGCCTGGTTGAGATAGGTTGTGACCAATTAAAATAGACTTAAGTCAGTTATTTATTTGTTATGTCAATATGTGAAATGAACAAGATTGACCATGATGAGTTATTAATCCACAATAAAGTGGTTTATCTGACTTATTTTTATACATGGGTTATAAGTCTTGTCTTACATGTCTTTGCCAATCTAATTCTATCATTAGGACCCAATCTCATCTTGCCCACTAAACGAGTCATTACTAGACCCTAATAAAATCATTGTTGCTATAAGCCACCGACAATAGTCTTTGATGGTATTTAAGTAGGTTGGTGATAAAAAATAATAAAAGATTTTCTAAATTGCTCTACTAAAAACATAGTGTTTACATAGGCCTAAACTTATCAATTTATTATTTGATCTTGAGCGAAGCTTTGAGTTTAAAATTAGGGAAATTGGCTTAAATGATTCATTTTTGACATTCGATTGCTGAATTAATTGTTTTTAACATATTGTCGTCAATGTATGATTGATATGTCATCGATATATTTTCAATAAGTGAACAATATTTAATTTTGATGATTTCAACAAATATATCATTTTAGCCAATTACCCTGAAAACTATGATTTTGATTGTACTTAAGTCCATAAATAATGCCTCATAAGGTTATTAGAACTTGCCCAACTTTTTTTTATTAAAGAAGAGATTTTAAGGAAATCCCAAATCCCGAATGGCAACATGTCAATTGATAATTTAAATTAAATAAAACTTAAAATTGTGAAGTTAGCAGCCAGACAAGGGTGTATTTTGCATCACCATAACTATGGTGTATGCTCACTATACACCTAATTATTTGTCATGTGTCATTTCACCTAACTCTAGTTAACTTTAACATTAAATGTTACTTTTTTTAATTTTGAAAAAAAATTAACCAAGATTTAATGAAATGACGCGTGGCAAATGATTAGGTGTATGGTGAGCATACATCAAAGTTTACCGTAGTAAGCAAAAATGTTCCTACTAGACAATGCATAATGGGTACTGTTAATGGGATATTATTTAGGTACTCTCTAGTGAGGATTTTATGTACTTATTTTCTAATTTAGTCCAATAAAAGAATGTAATGTGTTTCTTGTTTTTAAAGCTCGAGAAAAATTAAATAACATATTCAGTATATGTATTATAGTATGACAGGACAAAATTCAAAAATAAGTATTCACTAGTGAGTACTCAAATATTATCTCAGTTAATATGCTAAAAGTGGCAATTTTCCTTGTTCTTCTTTGGAGTGTGGAAAGAAATGAACTCTTTTTTTGTGGCAAGGAAAGACACTCGAACTGACGGAACTAATTTGTTGGGCAATTAGTTGGATGAAAGAATTCCAACACTAGCATGGGAAAAATGAAAAACGCAGCTGTAAAATTTCTCAAAAATAGACAAAGCTGAAAGAAGGATGGTCCAAATGTAATTTTGATGCGGCTTGGGATGAACATAGAAATATTAGTGGTGTAATAGGGTGATTTTGTGGTGGCCTTGGCAAAGAGGCATGCTGCTATTCCTTCCCCTTTGCTGGCCGAGACTATGGGAGCTAGGGATACTGCTTGGTTGGTCAAGGAGAAGCAATTACAAGCCTTGGTTTTCGAAGGGGATGCGTTACTTGTGCTGGCAACTTTTCAACAGGATGGTCAAGAGGATTACTCGCCATTCAGAAATATTCTAAATGATACTCGCTCGATGATTCAGCCATTGCCCCAATGGAAGATTGGTTTTTGTGGAAGGGAGACAAATAAAGTGGCGCACAGATTAGCACAAATGAGTCTGAGTACTGATAATCCTATTCTTTGGTTTGAAAAACTTCCTAATGTAATTGTGGATCTTCTATTTGAGGATAGTAATTCCTAATTTCTTTGGTGCAGGACACTCTTTTTCCCTTTGACCAGGTTGAAATCCCTGACAAAGTTTTTATCGTAGCCTATTGTATGCACCATATCTTCATTAATTATACATATTCCTATCATTAATGAATATCGTACATTTGCTAAAAAAAAAAAGTGGCAACATTCCTCAGCATTTCAACGAAGCCAATTCAAAATGGCTTTAAAGTTTAAACAATTATGCTACCGCAAACGGGGATGTGGGTTATCAGGACTGGAAAGGAGATAGTTTATGGAATTGACTTGGCTGTTCAAAGAACGAAGAGGAGTTCTTCCTCAAAATATTTCGTGACAAGTTTTGGAATTTAGTGCTATAATTGGAACTACTAATATTATAAATCACTCTTTAAAAATCGTTTCTGCAAAACAATCAATTAAAATTAAGGTCGTTTAGTCAATCGACTATAACAAATAGATAAGCGGTTCGTAATTTCTACAAAAGAAAATAAAATAATAAGATACGAGATCATTTAGTCATCAAACTGTATATAAACAGATGAATGAATTTAGTAAAAACATTATGAACCGTCTATCTAAACGCATCCGTGGAAGTTCAAACTCGGCTTGAAAATTAATCATAAGCACCTTTTATTAAGGTCTTTTCTTTCTTTCTGAAGCAGGAATGTTTGTGTTGAGAATCCATTGGTCCATATAGATTTTGAAAATGACCTTCAGTTTGGTGACCCCTAAACCTGATATCTCAAAACCAAAGAAGACCCAGATCCTAAATTTCAATGGCGTATTTCGTGTGCCGTGGAAAATAATGTTGCAATTGTTATATCAAATAATTAACCAGTTACAAACCAAAAAAAAAAAAGGGTAAAGTACAAAAAAGTACCTCAACTATTGGTGTCACGACATTTTCATACATCATCTTTTAAAATTGACAATGTCATACCGCATCTTACGAATTTGTGATAATATCATACCTCCGTCAGTTTTTCTGTTAATTTCTCTGTTAAATGATGATGTGGCCCGACACGTGTCCCACTCACTAATCCAATTGGATTAAAAAATAATCAAATATATTTTTAATAATCAAACATTAAAAAATTAAGAATAATAAAATAAATAAAAAAAATATATATATATATATATATATATTAAATCTCTCTCACTCTCTCCTCTCTCTCTCCCCCCTTTCTCGCCACTCTCTCTTCTTTGCAACCCAAAATCCCTTCGCACTCTCTCTCTTCATGCCTATAAACCAACCAATCAAACCATCCAACTAAATTGATATGCCTGTAAACCAACCAATCAAAACATCTAGTCACTTTCTCGCCTCTCTCTCTTCTCTGCAACCCACTCTCTCTCTCCCCGCTTTCTCGCCACTCCCTCACTCTGCCAACCCAGTTCGTCCCCCCCAACCCAACGCACACTCATCTCTCCTCCCCAATCTTCAACTTCTTCCCCTTTTCCCTCTACCTGCAACCCAGAAAAAAAAAATTCGAACCCAGTTTCGGCCCAAGAAGAAGAAGAAGAAGCCTCTCTGTCTCCTTCTCATCTTCATCTTCGTCCCCTTTTCCCTCTACCTGCAACCTAGAAACAAAAAAGAAAACAAAAATTGAACCCAGTTTCGGCCTGCAACCCAGAAACCAAAAAAAATAAAAAATTCAAACCTAGTTTCGACCCAAGAAGAAGAAGAAGGAGGAGGAGGAGGATTGAGAAGAACAAAAAAAAAATTGAAAACGAAAAAAAAAAAAGTGAAGAAGAAGAAGAAGAAGAACGAAAAAAAAAAAAGTGGCTGGATGTTTCAGCCCAGGAGAAGAAGAAGAAGATGAAGAAGAAGAAGGAGGAGAGAGAAGAACAAAAAAAATTGAAGCCGAAAAAAAAAGTGAAGAAGAAGAACGAAAACGAAAAAAAAAAGTGACTGGATGTTTCGGCCCAGGAGAAGAAGAAGAAGATGAAGAAGAAGGAGGAGAGAGAAGAACAAAAAAAATTGAAAACGAACAAAAAAAAAAGTGAAGAGAACGTAAAAAAAAGTGTGGAAATTTCGGCCAAAGAGAAGAAGAAGAAGATGAAGAAGAAGGAGGAGAGAGAAGGACAAAAAAAATTGAAAACGAAAAAAAAAAAAAGTGACAAATCGCCCAGGAGAAGAAGAAGAAGATGAAGAATGAGGAGAGAGAAGAATAAAAAAAATTGAAATTGGTGCGGGAGAAGGAAAGGATGCCGCATCCCTAGGAAGTTTTTTTTTGTTTTTTTATTCTTAATTTTTTAATATTTAATTATTAAAAATATATTTAATTATTTTTTAATCCAGCTGGATTAGTGAGTGGGACATGTGTTGGGCCACGTCAGCATTGAACAGATAAATTAACAGAAAAACTAATGGAGGTATGACATTGTCACAAATTCGTAAGATGCGGTATGACATTGTTAATTTTAAAAGATGAGGTATGAAAATATTGTGACACCAATAATTGAGATAGTTTTTTGTACTTTACCCAAAAAAAATTACACAACACAATTTCCAGCCCTCCCGGCTCCCACCACCTCCGAACAACCACCAAAGAGACATAAGAGAAAGAATGTAACACATCAGAGAAAATCAGAGACATTTGGAAATGAAAAAAAAAAAAAAAAAAAAAAAAAAAAAAAGACTCCTGAATCAGACTAAAGCTACTAAACAATTCAATCAATGTCTAACAAAATAACTTGGATCCTAGTAATATATGTATGTGGGCCTTAAATCATAACTAGCCAGTACTCAAACTGAAATTGGTACCACCTTAAATCTTAATCGATGATGATGCTTGAACTTCATCCCTCCCTTGCACAATATGTAATGACACTGCAGCCACGATGGTAAGGATTGACCTGTCCAGATGTACCACAATTATAATAAGAACTGCCTCGTCGATCGTATGGAACTTTATCCCTCTCTAGGGCTCCATAGCTTATGCATCTTGTGGTTTCAGCTTCTTCCGTGTCCTCGTCACCCTCCTCCTCCTCTTCCTTAATGTTCAGGCAATCCTCACCCGACAAGCCATCACACCGATCCGGTAGTGAAGCTACTTCTACTTCACCGGCGTTACGCCTCATGCTCGAGTATTGTGTTGACTCCACCACCATTGCTAAGGTCATGACAAGGAGAATAATTACTGAAATTATAATGATATTATTCGTCATGACCACATATGAGAGATATGAATCGGGAGAAACTAACAAGATAGTTGGTGGGGGATGGCGATGGATGATGAAGCCTTGGTGAGTACAGTTAGTGTAGCGATGCCTTAACTAGCTAGAGTTGTAATTAATCTGTTCAACTGATCTAGTTATAAGCTTGTTTTATGCTTTGGTGTGACACCTGCAGTGTGATGCGCCCGGTTCTTACTCCTCCATTGAAAATGTTAATTGTATATACTTGAAGTCTTTAAGATTGTTTCAAACCATTCTGCAATGCATATATATATATATATATACACTCCAAATTTATAGGCTCGAAACTAATTAACAACCGATAATTGCCCTCTCTCATATTGCACATCATCATTGTTGTGCTTATCGTCCATAAGGTTGTTTTACTACTTCACATATTGTTGAATACACGTATGTACCTTATATTTGCAATTGTTATATCAAATAATTTATCTTAGGAATACACATTAAATATTTATCTATAATAAACTTGTGGATGCAAATTTCTTCCTTTTTGTTCTTGGACGAAAATGCACCTACAAAAACAATTAACAGCTTAGGTCAAGTATAATATCTTGCAATCAATTAGAAAATTAATTAATTAATTAGAAAATCAATTAATTAATTTAGGTAATTAATCCTATTTTGAATGAATATTTGAAGGTTACCCTGTGGGGAGGATTTGATGAGGATAATAAATACATATTTTGATCACTTTTGACCTTGATTAAGTCGTGATTGTCTGCTGCTCGCGCGTAGGAGTTCCGATGTGCCTTGAGGGTAATCTTGTATTTTTCACCCAAAAATCCACGTGTCACCTCCATATTTTTCTTGATTATTTGTTGTTCCACAAATGCCCCCACACCTGTTGGGCTGCTTGCAGGAAATGGCAACAGGTGTAGAGATATTCTTGCTTAGGGAAACATAGGATTGTTTCCTGTTTTGAAGTAGATTCCCTCTTTAATTTGAAATTAGATCCCTTTAGGAAAAGGAAATAAATTTCTCCGAAAGTCTATTTAAGTCCACCTTAAGTGGATTATTAAATCAACTTTGGAGAGCAATTTATTCTACCCCACAAGAGAGAGAGAGCTTAGAGGATATATGCTCCCCCTCCCTTATCAATCTTCTACTCTTGCCCGTGCAAAGGATCGTCTTTTGTTGCTTGCTTCATCTTCTTGATTTTTGGGAGCCTTGAGGCTTGAAATTTTGCTTGACAGGGGTCGAGGATGTGCAAAAGGTAGCTGGGAAGCTATGGCTTGGTCTGGGTGTTGTAACACCGTGATGCTGCGCTTGGGCTGGTGCTTTAACGGCTGGTAATGGGCCAAGAGGCGAGGAGCATGCCTTTTTCTTTTTCTTTTTCGTTTTTTTAGCTGGGCTTGAGCTCGTGCCTGGAAGAGAAGAGAATGAAGGCCAAAAGGCCTTTTGGGCCAGGAAGAAGTCGGACCAGGTCGTGGGGCCTGACATGGTTGCTAGGTTCCTGCAGTTTGGGCCGCAACTTTGGGCCAGGGTTTTTTTTTTTTTTTTTTTGAAGGCTGGGCTCTAGCCTGTGCATGTGGGAGGAGAGAGAAAGGCTAAGTGTCCCATTGGGCCGTGGGGCCTGCTGTGTCGTGTCCTTTTTTTATTTTTTTAGTTTTAAGCAGCCGTCTAACGAATTTTCTTTGCGTCTTTGTAGAATTTCCTCAAGCATGTTTTCCTTGAGCCACAAGAATGATGATAGTGTGCCATTATTATATCGTCAAGGTGGGTCTTTGAGCAAGGTTGGCTACTTCAAGGCTGCTTACTTCAAAATTATCTCTGATGACTTGTTTTGAGACTTCCTTGAGACATATAGGCACGCTATTCAGTCAAGAGTGCATGTGAAGCGTGTTAAGGATGGTAGTAGTTGTGAGTCGTGCAATGAAGCTCAGAGAGCCATTAAGTATCACCCCTACTACTTTGTGTTGGGGTTTACTTTTCCTATGTCGCGTTTCTGTCAGGAAGTGCTATGCTTTATGAGATGTGCCCCGCTCAATGTTCTTCGAATGTGGTCCATGTGATGGTGGGATTCCTCAATCTAAGCCAATTATTTGACTTAGATCTAGCCGTCAACGAATTTTGGTATTTCTTTGACATAGGCCACATCGAGGAAGTTGGGCAACTGTGATTTCCCCATAGGCTCTTCGATCATTCAAAGAAGGGAGATCATGACTGGGCCAAGGAGACTTTGGAGACTGCGTTCCAACGGTTTTCATATCTAGTAAGTGGGCTGCTTAATCTCTCAGTTGCTTTGTATTTGTGCTAAGTTGCTCTTTAATTTTCTGATTGTCTCATGCTGCTTTTGCAGATTCGAAATTTAGCTCAACTCCTAAGACTTATCTGGACATGAAGAAAGTGCATGTCATTCTGGGTATCCCTTCCGAGGACTGTGAGTGGTGTTGGCTGGTTAGTTATTTTCATCAAGAGAAAAGTGGGCTTCCCCCAAGAGATGAGATAAAACGAATCAAAGTGAAGGCATTAGTTCGTCCGATTGCGATTGTGGAGCCCCCTGCAAGTGAAGGTGGGAAAAAAAGACCTTCCCCTTCTGTTGAGAAAAAGCCAAAGACTTATTCCGTTGCTTGCGAGGGTTCGCCGGCTGCTCCTAAGCATGTGATTAACTTAACTTCTCCCAAGGGTTAGAAAGATGAGGCTGCTAAATCTGTGTCGGTGACACCTGCAGTTCCAAATGTGGCTAGTTCGATTGCTGATAAGATTGCTCAGTGTAGAAGTTCCTCCGTGCCTCTACTGCCGAAATTTATGCCAAAACGTCCGTTTGGGGCTAAGTCTAGTTCACCTTTGGAGAGGCTTACTATTATGAAGAGTGACAAGGTGCCTTTGCCTGCTAAAATGGTGCCAAAACCAGTTCCCTTTACTGTTGAGACCGATTCGTCTGTTGAGAAAAAGGAAACTGCTCGTGCGGGCAGTTATGAGAAATCCACCAATTCTGGGGAAGCCGCTGAGATTTGTGCGCTCTTGAGACCAGATTTGCTCGAGGACATGAATATGTGTGCCAAGTTTGTTGATGGCATCAAGGGGGTTGGTGGCCTACTTTCCTTTGCGAAGCATACGACCGAATATAAGATGACTACTCTGTTAGGTATGATGCAAAAAACAGCGATTCTAGTAGCCAAGTCTATGTTCCTTAATCAAGAGGATACCAAGGCTACCAAGGAAGTGCCAAGAACCGTGGCAGCTGAAGCTTACTCTTCCGCTGAGAAAGTCAAGAAGTTAAAATATGAGCTTGCTACTTTGAAGGGATCTAATATTTCTGCCTCCACTCCTCTACAGCTTGAGACCGCTCGCCAAGAGATTATAGATTTGAAGACTAGGCCTGACACGATCCAAGTAAAATATGGAAATGCAGATAATGAGATCGGGTGTTACATACCTCAGATTCAAGATCTTGAGCGTGTCATCTCTGAGCTCTACTCCGTTGCTTACGTAAAAGATGAAGAACTGATCGTTGCTTACAACTAGGTGATCGACTTCAAGAAGGTCATTGATAGACTTGAGCCTCAAGTGTTGGAACTCTAAGGTGCTTTGAAAATCAACGATAGTCTGAAGAAAGAAATGGAGGAGATGCAACGAGCCCGTGCGTCTGCTTAAGGAGAATGAGTAGTTAAAGGGTGAGAATGTTGGGTTCAAGGCTTCACTTACTCAGAGTCAAGCTAATTTCTACAAGCTGGGTTATATAGACCATCTCTTTAGGCGGCTGTCTAACTTCGAGTTTTCTGGTAAATACTTCGAGACCTTCTCTATTTCTTCGAAGGACTTGCTCGCCTTTACTTTTAAAGCTTCTATTAGTGGAGTGGTCGGAGAGGTTGGTAGCCAGGCTGAGGAAGTTGGGGGTGACGAACCAGATGGTGCCACTGCTAAGAGCGTCGCGGCTGCTAAAGGTGTGGTAACCGAGTAGTCGTGGGATGTTCCAAGCTGCTGAAGAGTAGTATTCTAGGTAGCCTTTAGGATTTTCTTTGTTTTCCTTGTTGCTTTTGCTTTTCTTGAACTCCTTTAGTCTTTGCTAGTTGTTTATCAATTTTGCTAGAAAATTTAATAAACTTATTTCTTCCCTTTTCTCCATCTTTGTTTATTCTGTTCATGCCCTAACCTTTAGACTTTATAGACCAGTGGCAGGTGTATTACTTTTCTATAAGAAGCCAAGCTCGCGTAGCCTATGCAGTTGTAGGTGTTGGTGTAGAACTTTGCAAAGTTGTTAGTCGTAGGGTTGGTAGCCGAACGCCTTACTTACAAAAGCAAACAAGTCCGCGTAACCACTAGGCTATTAACCTTGGCTTTCTCCAATTCCATAGGTTGCGTAGCAAGTATAGGACTTGGTGTAGGTCGTTCCGCGCTTGTCAGTGGTGAAGTTTATTAACTACGTAGCATGTTGGCAGTGGATAAAGTTTCGTATATGCACACTAGCTTGTTTAACCATTTATACGAATGTGCGGTTGTATAAGTCTAGCGTGGCTTTACTACTCGAGGGGCAAGCCGTAAGCAGTCTTCCGGAAACCATAAGCTATCTTAGTGCACTCGGTAGCAGCTTTAGGATTCCAGGGCATCCGTCCATAGAGAGTACTGTGTTATGTGCCCCCTCCATCTCTAGGGCCCGATTCCCTTCGAATTAAGCCAAGAAACCCAAAATCCTTCAGTTAGCTAAGCCTTGTAAAAGATCATTGTGGCTATTTCTAGAAATCCCAGCGCAATCCATCGTGCATCTAGTTATACTAGGGCAGCCCGGCTCATCCACATATGGATATTCAAAGTGTAGAGTTTATCATCCCGCTTTGGAGAGCAGACCCATGTGGGTGTCACGAAATTGGTTTACCCTCTCGTACTGGAAAACATGGTTAGTCCCTTAGAGGGGTGCAATTCTTGTGATGAGTCCCTAAGAAGGGCGCGATCTTCTTTTGAAGTGGATA